CCCACTCCACTGACATCGTCCTATGAAAGTGTTTTGATATTTTGCATACCTCCTCCCAAGAGTTCACCGCCTGCTTGCATCAGGGCTGAAGGCTCTTGAGAGGAGTACTGCTGGACCCTCACACCAACCATGAATTGCCTGAATAGCATTGAGAAGCACAGGGACCAGATGATGTCATCACTCTAGAGTCTAAACTTCTGAACCACCCACCAGTTTTTCTGTGGCAGGGAGGCCCTGCTGTGCTGGATCACATACATGTACATGATCTGGCATATCTGGGAGTCGGTCATCAGGTCCCAGCTAATGATTTATGGCCGGGACCTGCTGATCAGCTTAGCAAATGACAGTACAGAGCTCTATGTTGACAAACACAGAGCACTATACAGACAGCAGAGATGTGGTTGTTTTTTTCTCTCTGCAAAGAAGGAGATACAACAGTCACATCGCTTACTAAAAGCAGCACATATTACACACATTACACATTGTTAGGCACACAGTTAACCCTTTGATTGCCCTATATATTAATCGCTTCCCAGCCAGTATCATTAGTACAGTGACAGTGAACAGTGGTGTATGGAGAGAGCGAAATATAGATAAAGAGGGTGAGAAAGATAAAGAGAGATATAAAGAGGGGGAGAGATACAAAGAAAAAGGGAGGGAGAAAAAGAGAGAGATAAAATGAGAGAGGGAAAAAAATAAATATAAAGAGGGAGAGAAAGTTAGAATAAGATAAAGAGAGAGAGAGCTAAAGAACGAGTGATAAAGAGGGAGGGAGAGAAAGAGAGATCAAGAGAGAGAGAGAAAGATAGAGGGAGAGAGATATAAAGAGAGAGAAAGAGGGAGAGAGGTAAAGATGGAGAGAGAGGGGGGAGAGGGAGAGAGAGAGAGAGAGAGAGAGAGAGAGAGAAATAAAGAGGGAGAGAAAGAGAATAAGAGATATAAAAGAAGATAGATAGATAGATAGATAGATAGATAGATAGATAGATAGATAGATAGATAGATAAGATAGATAGATAGATAGATAGATAGATAGATAGATAGAGAGAGAGAGAGAGAGGGGGGGGGGCGAGAGAGAGAGAAGAGAGAGAGAGAGAGAGAGAGAGAGAGAGAGGGGGGGAGAGATGAAGAGGGAGAGAGAAAGAGAGAGAGAGGGGGGGGGAGGGAGGGAGAGAAAGAGATATAAAGAAAGAGAGAGGGAGAGAGGGAGAGAAAAAAAGATATAGAGAGAGATAAAGAGGGAGAAAAAAGAGAGAGAACAAGAGGGAGAGAGATACTGTATAGAGAGAGAGGGGGTGGGGGGGGGGAGAGAGAGAGAGAGAGAGAGAGCGAGAGCGAGAGAGAGAGAGAATAGATAGAAGAGAGAGATAGAGAAAGATAGAGAGAGATAAATAGAGAGATAAAGAGAGAGGGGGGAAAAGAGAGAGGGAGATAAAGAGAGATATAAATAGAGAGAGAAAGATAAAGAGGGGGAGGGGAGAGATAAAAAGAGAAAGATGAAGAGGGAGGGAGAAAAAAGGAGAGATATAAAAAGAGAGAGAGAAAGAAAAGAAAGATAAAGAGGGAGAGAAAGATAGAGAAAGATAAAGAGCGAGTGATAAAGAAGGAGAGAAAGAGAGAACAAAAGAGAGAGATAGAAAGCCAGAGGGAGATTTATATAAAGAGAGAGAGAAAGAATGAGAGAGATAAAGAGGGAGGGAGAGAAAGAGATATAAATAGAAAGAGATAAAGAGGAAGATAAAGAGAGAGAAAGAGGGATGGAGAGAAAGAAAGTTAAAGAGAGAGAGGGGGGGGGGGGGGTAGAGAGATAAAGCGCAAGAGATAAAAAAGAGAGAGATAGAGAGATAAAAAAGAGAGATAAAAAGAAAGAGAGATGAAAAGAGAAAAAGAGAGATAGAGTATAAGAGAGAGGGGGGGGGGGGGTAGAGAAAGATAGAGAGATAAAGAGAGAGGGAGAGAAAGAGAGATCAAAGAGAGAGAGAAAGATAGAGAAATATAGAGAGAGGGAGATAAAGAGATATCAAGAGCGAGAGAGAAAGATAGAGAGATAAAGAGAGAGGAGAAAAAGAAAGAGAGAGAGAGAGAGAGAGAGAGAGAGAGGGAGAGGGAGAGAAAGATAAAGAGGGAGACAAAGAGATAAAGAGTGAGAGATAAAATGTATATTCCATTGTTTGTAGATGCTACAACTGTTGAGCAAACCAAATAATATACACTTTTTATCTATTAACTTTATAACAGAAAATAGAAAATATTGTTTTTTTTTCAAAAGTTTCAGTCTTTTTCCATTTATATAATAGAAAATAAAAAAAAACAATGGTGATCAAACACAACCAAAAGAAAGATATATTTGTGAGAAAAATTGTATATAAATTTCATGTGGGTACAGTGTTGCATGACTGCACAATTGCCAGTTAAATAAGAGCAGTGCTGAATAGCAAAAAATGCCCTGGTCATGAATGGGCTTAAATATTATGGAGCTTTAGTGGTTAAAGTATGTCATGAAAACAGGTTTTTACACTTACAAAGTTTTACTTTACTTTATATCTGATTGCTTGCTGTGGGTTATTCTACCATACACTACTTCATTTTGCACTAACCTAAATCTAAACACAAAACAGACATAAAAAAGCCACTAAGTGATGCAGTTAAATATTTGTTAAAAATGTTATTTTCGGTAATGGTAACTAACCTAATTACCTTAATTTGACCTGTAGCCAGCCTTTTGTAATCACCTGCATAAGAACAATGGTAGAGGGTGGGGCAGTACATGGGACCAGTAAGGTGTCTTGTATGCACTTGTGTTGATGAGGAGCATGCCAACAGGAGAGAGAAGGGAGTTTACCTGATCAGTTCGTTGTTGATCTTATATTGCCCAATCCCAGGCTGGAGGTGACCAAGTCATGCTGCTGCAGATGAATAGAGAGAAATACAAATCCTTTGGCAGGTAAAGATTCACTTATACTGTATGTATTTCATTTGTGTATTTGGTTTTAGCTGGAGTTCAGCTTTAATATGCAGATTTTTCTGCAGCATAGATTCATATTTCATTATCAGTAAATATAATTACACTGCGCATTACTTATTACGTGCATATATTATCTGCCAAGGTAACAGTTGTTAATTTCACTTGCCTGAGAAATGAATTAATTTTAATTTTAGTTTGGTTTAAGAGCCTATTTTTTTTATCTCAAATGAATGTTGTCTATGCAGGATAATTTCCAACTCATCTCCATTCCTTCACAAACATATATATATATACAGAGTCAAAAAGTTTTTTTCTGATATTACGGGGAAAACAGGAATAAATCCAGCTATTAAAGGATCAGATACAATGTATGAGATTGACCCAGTCCCTAAAGGGTGTTCCATTGGAAAACTGGCTCAGGCCATGCAATGAAGGGCCAGTCTCTTCCCTTGGATTGGAGGTGCTGGATTTCTGGGTTGCCTGAAGTGCATGGGGAACCCTTGGGGCTTCTACAGAACTTGGCGCTGTCAGCAGAGTTGGGTTGTGTGCATCTCTGCATTTGCTATTATGTACAGCAAATTGAAGCCAACAACTGGATATCATTCATGGATATAAACCTTTATTGCCAACATGGTGAGTATACAGCACAGAAGGCTAACACGTTTTGGCTACACATACTTACTCATAGCATGTATGTGTGTTGTATACTCACCATGTAGTCAACAAATGGTTCATATCCTTGGATGATACATGATGCCTGCCTTATTTTGATTTATGGATCATTGTGTGGAGACACTTCAACCAATGCACAGGCTGTCCCTACTGGTTTACACGGTTCAGCAACTATTCTTCTTTATTTGCTTATTATTATAGGTCTACAGTCTGTTGTCATTTTGACCCACTGTGCGTGTTGATAGTGGAGGACTACTCCCCCTGACACTGTTCAGGTGGTATTCTAATCTTTCCTGAGGCTGTTCAAGCTCTGTTTGCCTGTCTTTTAGGGTAGATTTAAACAATAAATTTCTCAATTTCCCTTGCCTCCAAAGCCTTATCTGCATTTGGATCACGTACCAGTGGCTACTGAAAGGCCAGATCCCCTTCCTCTTTTGTTTAGAGGCCCAGAGGTAGGTAGACCACTCACCCATGCCTGTCCATAGGGATGAATGAACCTTTCGATCAGATCCAACTGAAAAAACTGACAGGCGGACCTGATTGGTATGGCCATGTGAAAGGACCCTAACTTTTTTTTTAAATGACCTTCCCATTTGAAAGTGCAGGCATCTATGATTTTCTACAATTGACCAAACATTGCAGAATTTACAAAAAATGTCCCTTCTTTGCAGCCATGGCAACTGGAAGCATTATGTACCATGTTTCTGTACAAAGTTGCCACAGTAATGTAATTTCCTACTTATGTCATTGATATACTTCTTTCCCAGTTGTCTATTCCCTTATAACAATACAGGGACAAATCATGTGGGTATGGCAGACAGACTTAGCATTTAGGAAGAAGTAAGTCCCCAGAATGGCCTGTATCTAAAGAACAAAAGTAGGTTAAAATCTGCAATAAAGTGTGTTACATTCCCTGCAATAAGTGCCCTAGAGAGGATTTTGTTTTCCTAACAGAAGTGGAGTTTTTAAAACAACTGCTAACATTTTGTGAACACCAGCAAATTGAGTTTTCTTGTCATTTGTTCCAGTCGTGACTTGTGACTTTCACTGTGAATTAGTAGTTAATGGCCAACTCAATAGACTGCCTGAAAATACAAGCTTTCGGATAACTTTGCTTTATTCTTCTTGAGCACAGTAAATGAGACATAAAGAATCCAAGTGTGTTCCGAAGTCTTGGTTATGTATTCAGTAAGCAATTAAAATACGACTCCAATTTTTTCTTTAAACTTTGGACCAAGGGCGGACTGACAACTCATGGAGCCCCCGGGCAATAGGGGATCATGGGGCCCCTGTGTCCTTGCCCAAACTCAAAAAAGCCTATGAAAAAGGTACAAGGGGCATCTCATGGGGCCCCCTACTGACCCTGGGCCCTCGGGCAGTGCCCGAGTTTCCAAATGGTCAGTCCACCCCTGCTTTGGACATCATAAGGAAGCAGGGGCGGACTGACCATTTGGAAACTCGGGCACTGCCCCCGAGGGCCCGGGGTCAGTAAGGGGCCCCATGAGATGCCCCTGGTACCTTTTTCATAGGCTTTTTTGAGTTTGGACAAGGACACAGGGGCCCCATAATCTCCTATTGCCCGGGGTCCCCATGAGTTGTCAGTCCACCCCTGTAAGGAAGGGTAAGAACACCTGTCGGATTTTAATATCTGTCTGTCTGTGGCCCAGGTGATGGGATTTTGTGGTAAGTTTAAAATGTTTTCTGCATACCTAAGGAGGAGATTTCTCTTCTCTTCCTGTTCTGTCTGGCACCCAACACTTTGACAGGAAGTGAGAGTAAATCTCCCTTTTATAGATACAGACAGCAATAAAATACTGACAGAGGTTCTAAACCTTCCTCAGTATACAATACTATGTGTTTTATTTCTCTTTGTCCCCAATGAAGGAGACTTCTCTTCCTGTTCTGGCCAACATCGATCACCTAGAGACAGAAAGTGAGCAGAAATCTCCCCCTCAGGAACACAGACAGCAATAAAATCCTAACCGACATTCTTAACCTTTCTTGCTCTACATGAAAATGTACTTCATTGTTCTCCATGTCCCTATAAAATGTGTTTCCTTTGTTTCTATAGAGGAAATATATTTTCTCTCTTCTGTTCTCTTCAACATTTATCACCTGGACGGGAAGTGATGGAAAATCATCACAGCTGGCACACGGGCAACAGTATATTCCTGCTAGAGGTTCTAAACCTTCCCCATTGTGTACAAAATGCTATGAAGGCACACACAGAAAAGAAGTAGCCAAGAGCCATGCCAGGGGCCTGCAAAAGAGGAAGTTCAGGGCCGTTCTGCACAATACTAATGCACAGAGCAGGTAAATACAACATGTTTTTAACTCCTAAAAACCTGCACCACTGCTCTGCAACATGTAGTTGTGGCATAACCCCATTCCATTGAAGGGATCACATTTGACAGGCGGTACTTCTCAATGAACATGACAGTGGGGATAAATTTTGCTGCATCATATGTATGCCATTACCTACTGCCTTTGCAGCTTAAGGGGAGGTGATTGAGGGGCAATTTTTACTGCCCTGCCACTGTACGCCTAGACAAGGCTTTAGGGTTCATGCTCATGGGCAGCCAAGGGGACGGTAAAAGCAAGTAGCTGAACACCCCAACTACCCACCTAAACTAGAGTTTGCAGCTGATCAGGGCTTCACACAAGCTGTGGCCATGATCCTTTGCTTCATAGTTGCACAAAAATGAAATGGCATGTCTCTTTTGAAAGTCACTATCACAGATGAACGGGCCCAAAGTGAACAGAGCCACACCGCAACTGCATGCAATGCACATGGTGGGCCAGCAATTTTGAGGTTTAAAGCAGCTGGTGAGGAGTCAACATATCACCCCTTCTCTGCCTGTCATACAACTGAGAATCACTTGTCAGATAGGTGGCAAAAAAGCCACATGTGTGTACAAGCTCTTAGCGACTATTCTACCTAAGACAGCTCATAGATCATTTGATTTTCTTACCTTCCATCATCTGCGCAGAGATCCTTCTCGGCTGGCAAAACACAATGATTACTGTTAGAGGCTACAGCCACTGACAGCAATCACATGTAAAAAAGTCTGACATGCTGGTTGTAGCCAAGTTGTTTGATGGATCAACTTGGGTACAATCAGCCTGCCCATACAAGGATCAAAATTGCTGAATTTCAATCCATGTGTGGCAAGCTTTAGATGAGCAGAACTACAATCAAAATATTACTGTTTGCCAATATGTGAAGGATCCTAAATTCCTGGAAATTTTTCTGTTTGGTATTCAGGACTGAGTCAACATGCAACTGTGGCAATGAATTGTCTTGTTTTGTTTCTATAGCACGTAAAAATAAAAGTCCATTAGAAAAAACACTTTGCAAGTCTTTTGTTCTATTTAGTTATCTTGTCCATCCTTCAAGTAATGTTGGCTTTTAAAGTAAAACCTATCTAATTGTTGATTCTGGTGCTGACAGAAAGTTAAGATTGCCAGGCTGCTTCCAGACACTTATCTCGATCCAAATCACTTCTCTGGTCTATTCATTAGAATGTGTTGTCATGTTGAGCTCTTTATAGTTAGGCAGGTAAGGTGGTAAACTGTTATTATACCTTGGAATACTAAGCAGTTGAGTTAAAGCTGTCCAAGTAAATATGTCTTTTCTTTGTTTCGGTCTCTGAAGCTGACAACACAGTTAATATGCAAATTAGGCAATCTTTTAAACCAGGCCCAAAAATTTTTTGTTGATTCTTCTCCTGCTTTGTTGCCATACTGCTCTAAAGCCAAATTCCAGCATAAATGTTTTTTGTATTAATACACGAACCAGACCTTTGAAAAACAAAAATATAATTTAAAAAAATACAATAATAACCTTCTTTCAAGTGCTGTCCACAGATACTCTGCTCTATGGTCCAGTGCCAGTCCACTTCCAGGTTCAATGACTCCCAGTGTCTTTCAGCTCACTTCTTGTAAACCCTGGATGTGCTTTACCATGTTGCCATTGGTTTATAGTGCAATGTACAGTGCTTCAGAGAATGGCACTGGCATTATAACATTTACACCATTGAGGACCACTCAGCTCAGGAGAGGAGCTAAAGAATTCCCTGAGCATCTGGTTACAACACAGAAAAGATCTTAAACAAATGTAATGGAGCTGGTACTTGGATTCTGTGGGGATCCATTCTTTATTTCTGCCTACTCTCATCATTGCATTTCATGACTAACAAATATCCCATGTAAGGAAAAGGTCCAACTAGTTCACTTGAACAGAGCTGTCTTGATCTTGCTAGTCCACTATTACATGCAGAGAATTTTCTAACCACAAATCCTATTTGATTTAAAACTTTCACATGTGTAAGATATTGGTCGAACCATTGGGACTTTATATGTAGTCACTGTTTTTTTTTTTTCTTTTTTTCAGATATAAATTGAAGTTATCCTAAAACGACATTGAGATTTATTAGAATATGCAACCAGTTCATTTAAGAGATTTAAGTCACTTTGTCCATTCAGTCTTTCAGTAGCCCACCCCCTCATCCAACTTATTCTCTCTTTTGCCATCCTACCCTATTATGAAAAAGCACTTTCCTATGGGTATGGGGGAGTATGTGACCTATGGGTATGGGGGAGTGTGTGACCTTCTCCCATAAACAGTTCTTGGGCCTAAGGGCATAATCTCCAAGTCCGAACACTGTCACATAATGGAGAAAGTGATGCATTCAACACTGCATAAGCTCCGTCACCATAGAATAGCAAGCTTACCATTGGGTTTGACTGTCAATTCTGGGGAAGGGAAACCAGGAAAGGATGAGTAGCAGTGGGTTGGAGGGGATGGGCTAACAATAGACTCTGTCACGTCTTAAAAAGTTGTCCCAGAACAGATGTCTCCATTAGATAATTTGCCCTCACATCTTGTTCTGAGGTTATCCCTGAAATGTATTTCCTACTTATTTCCTTTTCATGGATAATGGTTACAAGTAAAAACAGTGAAGTGATATTCTCCACTGAGGAAGCAAACAAGTAAATACTTAACAGGTGTCTAACCCTTCACTACTCTATCTAAAGCTAAATAAAATAATTTTGCCTAGGGATACGCTTTATATACGCTTTATACGGATACGCTTTATGTTAGAGTAGGGAAATAGGTACAACCCCAATCAGGTTATTATTTGCTGCCTGTTTCCCACTGGGAAACTTTCCTTTCCGTTTTTGTCCTGGAGATAATACAGGAAATTAGAGGAAATCTTAAGAGGTTTCATAAGAATAGATGAATATATAAATGGGCAGCACAGTGGCTAAAATGGTTAGCACTTCCGCCTGGCAGTACTAGGGTCGTTGGTTCAAATCACAGCCATGGCACCACCTGCCTGGAGTTTGCATGTTCTCCCTGTGCCTGTGTGGGTTTCCTCCGGGCACTCCGGTTTCCTCCCACACTCCAAAGACATGCTGGTAGGTTAATTGGATCCTGTCTAAATTGGCCCTAATATATGTATGTAAGAATGTAAGTTAGGGACCTTAGATTGTACACCCCTTGAGGGATAGGGACTGATGTGAATGTACTATATGTGTAAAGCGCTGCGTAAATTGGTGACGCTATATAAGTACCTGTAATAAATAAATATATGAATTTATTGGAGGATTTTCTCTCATCTCTTGTTCTGATAACAATTTTAAATTCTTGGCTTCCCTGTCACTTTTGGTCTTGGTGACAATGGTAGAATAGAGGGGTTAATCCAGAGAGAACACAGACAGCAATAAAATTGGCAATACATTTTAAGTACATTTTCCCTCATTTCTTTGTAGTTCTTGGAGAGGGAAGGAAAATATCCTTAGTGTGGACATACCACTAAAAATTGACTGAGGCTTAGCTCTTCGCACTTTGTCCAAAACAAACAAAATATGTGGCTATAGTTGACCTTTAAGCATTATAAATTAATTACTGACCTGCCTCCAGCAAAACTACATTGAGTAAGTCATGCTCACACCTCCTATTCGCAAGCAGTGTAAAGTGTAAAAGATTAAAAGAGTATGCACCCATAGCTTTTTTGTTCAGTCAGAGGGTTGAACACATGACTCCACTGCTTTCAGAATACACTGATCAGTAATGGGGGCTGATTGGTTGCAGTGGCAAATTGAATGAAAGTTTTCCAACAGTCCTATTCAACAAAAGTCGATCTACTGATGGACTTCTGTTGGACAGGGAGGCTACACATAGATCAACATTTATCCAGTCCCTGCCAAATATTGATCCGTGTGTACCCAGCTTAAGACTGATAGCCCTGAGAAATATAGTTAGTTGTCATTGACTCACAGTGCTGTAACTCCTTGTTCTATTTTGAGGACTGCTGGGCAGGGATTTGCGGGAAGCCAAACATAGGTTTTCAAGAAGCTAAAATAAAGACAGATTTGAGTACTTATACCAACAATAAATACATAACTGGCTTGGATGTTAATCTTTCATCATGTACTTGAAGTTAGCTTTAACACAATGTGCTCCTTTCATGCTGTTGCTTACAAAGAAATTGTGGGAAGTAAGGTCCCCCTGCTGTATTTCTATGGAGAGGGGTCACAGGCAAGTAAAGGAGGTTTCCATTTTTTTAGCCCGCACTCTTCGCCTAAATACTATAATTTTGTTATTTCAGATGTTCTCTGATGAATCCTGGTTCATTGGTATTGCATCATGCAAATCAACACTGTGTGGGAAGGCAGAAATTACAAATGTGATAATTTATCCGGGAAAGCAGGTAAAATACACTATTAATAAAATGTGTGAACCAGAAGGATGCACTGCATGTTGCCAGAGAACTTAAGCAGATCAAATGTACACTCGGTATCCTTGGTTACATTTTTTTATGCACCAGAGTTTTTCTCATGATTTTCATAAGCCTAACTAACAGAGAATGAAGAATTCTGAGAATACATAGGGAGAAGAGATAAGAGTAATAGAAAAAATATGCCAATTAAAAATAGTAATGATAAAAAAATAAAATTTTACCACTTATGCTACATAAAAGCACATTTGAATTTATGCACAAGGGACCAAAAGAAATCTACTGAGATACTTGGTGGGAGACCAAAAAAATTCTATTGAGCTACTTAAGCTGGAACTCCTACATTACATGTATAACTGCCATACAAGACATCTTTATGTAATGTTATTCATAGTTACATAATTAGTAAGGATGAAAAAAGATATAAGTCCATCTAGTTCAGTCAACGGGAAAATAAACAAATAGAAGCCTTCCTTATACATAATCCTTTGCCCACAGTTGATCCAAAGAAGTCCAAACAAGTTTATTAAATTATGGTCCAATTTGCTCCAAAATCTGTCTTCCTCTAGTCATAAAGAGTGCCCCCGTGTCATTTGTAATGACCTGAAAGTAAATAACTCAACACCAAATTCCCAGCAAACCACTCATGTACTCTATTTATACAGTACATGGTGATCATATCCCCCCTTAATCGCCTCTTCTCAAGAGAGAAAAATATCCGACCAACTAATCTTTCCTTAGCTGAAATTAGCTAATCTTTTCTGTCTTTTAACAGTTTGGTTGCCTTTTTCTGCACTTTCTGCAAAATCCTTTGGAGTAGTCTCAATCTCCTTACGTACGTCTTCTTTATTTATATTTGCCAAAATTTAAGACTGACCACAGTCTGTGGTTATGATATTCAACAATCCTCTTCCCCAGTAGCTTGAATCGTTTCATATTTCTTCATACAGAATTAGGCACAGAAGCTGATGTCAAATAAATGCAGCTTGTATATACTGTAGCAGTGTGTCTCAAAAGATGCCTGGAAAAGTCCTGGTTGGGGTTTTACACATCTTCAGGGCTCCTCTCCTACACTTTTAGAGATTTCTTATTCTTTATTCAGTTTGGGTTTTTGCACCTCTCCCTTTTATCAAGTTTGGTTCACCTAGAACTCAGTCAGTGCTCATGAGCCTGGGGGACAAATAAGTCATATTTGTGAGAGCTGCAAGGTTTGCTCAGACTGCTAGTTAAGACATGCATGTGTGTAGTTAGAGTCGGGGACCAGGGGCGGACTGACAACTCATGGGGCCCCCGGGCAATAGGGGATCATGGGGCCCCTGTGTCTTTGCCCAAACTCAAAAAAGCCTATGAAAAAGGTACCAGGGGCATCTCATGGGGCCCCCTACTGACCCTGGGCCCTCGGGCAGTGCCCAAGTTTCCAAATGGTCAGTCCGCCCCTGGTCGGGACATAGCTAGGATTTTGTTTTGGAATATTTGTTTTAGGTATTTTGTGGAACACTGTACAACACCTGTAAACAGACTTGTAAATAGCACCAATAAACACTGCACTGTTTGTCATTACATTACTGGACTGGTATCTGTGCTCATCCCAGGTAGCTTTCTACCTGTTACCTACCCCAGCTCAAAATACATGTACATTTATTTGCATATTTAAAGATTTCAGTGCAATACAAGTATGAAAATAGCTAAATCTTTCAGAATTAACCCTGTTCTGTGTCCTATCGGAAACTGTTTCACTTCTGCAAGTAAAGGAACTGAAAGTGTGATCTCTATAACTGATCCAGTTGTGGTGAGATAGCTTATCTTATAGTCTCAGTAGCTTGGCAGACAGTGACTCAATCTAAAGGATTGCATATTGCAGAAAGCTTTAAACCAATAGTTGTGCAGATCAAAATAGATGAATATCAAATAGTTAAAAAAAATGATAGTGTGTGTAGCTCCAGCAGAATGCTCTACATTTGATTAGTCGAGGCTAAAGAAAAGTTGGGCCTAATTACATAGAGCATTCCCTAGCTACAGAGTGAGGTAGGGACTCAATTAATAAAGGCAAACAAACAGACAATGCATGTATAATATGATAGGGACACTGTGTGTATTACATGAGACAACTCTGGGACTGTGGAGAATTTGCAGAGCCTCCTGCTTGGTTTTAATTTTGAAAACTTTAGCATTTATGCTACCATGGCTTATAATCAGTATCTACAGAACAGGTATTCTGTTCAAGTACCTTTACTCACTTTAAAGCTCCAAAGGTGAATGCACATATGCTCATCTTTTTTAGATCTTCACAGGTCCTCCTATTTTAAGGGAGCTTTAATATATAAATAGTCTCTTCTTAATCTGAAGGTGCACTTATCCCACCATGTACCACCTCATTATTGCTCAGAGAGGCTGTCTATTATATTTATGACCCAACATTTGGGGGCAGCGTGGTTGGCCCTGTGAAGTTGCTGTTTACATCTCAGAGATCCCCAAGTTTTAGGATTTCTGGTGAGAGTTCCAAGGTATGTGAACCTATGTGCAGACCCCTTTTGGAGCCTGTCCTTAGATAGGAGTCTACATATGGTTTGGGATCTTTAACATTTTACAAACGTTAATAAAGCAATAGCAAGTGCAGTCACTATATACAGCATAACATTAAATCAAAACATACAATTGGGGTAAATTCAGATGAGATTTTGCATTGATATGTATAGGTTAATATACACTTTGCTCTTAGTAATAATTTGTGAAATTTGTGATTCTGATAAGGTGTATTCAAAAGCTAAAATGTGTTTATTGTTGGTGTATTTGGCATCATGCCTCACTCTCTATAGTTTTCTCAAACAAATATTTTTAAGTAAATATGTTGCAAAGTTTCTTGCCTGGAGATCTTGCCAGTAACAGCACTTCCTGTTTCAGGCTGACAACACTAAGCCATTGTCTGGTGATTGACAGCAAAGTTATCAGCATTGACTGTCAATTGGTAGCATCAATTGGCCATTGGGCTGCCTATCTGGTTGACCAGATAAACAGAAAAATGGCCAACTGAGGCAGCACACGGCAGGCTGACAGTGCTGCTGCTAATTGTGTCAACTTTGTATCTGTTTGCCCCAGGTTGGCATTGTGTCCACAGTGGCATTTGCATTGGCAGAACAGAGTAGGACTGGCCATAAAGGGATTACTTTGACGCAGTTGGCCAGCTAAAACATGTATTGCAATATGTGTGAACTAAGGAGCCCAATTTTTATTGCAACGTTTGATGGAAAGGGTAGTTAGCAGTGTGCAGAAGGTTCCTCTGAGATTTCTAGTGTTAAGATGTGGCTACACCCCTGTAGCACCTGATAGATAAATGCATGTACAAGCTATAGGGATTTGAGAACAGGTATATCTTATTTCTCTTTTGAGTAAGCACACAGGATATTGTTCATATAGCTGCAGTTAAATGGTATTGGAGTCAATGCACCCTTTTGGTTGATAACTACCTCTAGATATGACCAATGTACCCCAATCTTGGCTATTGAAACTGATGATCTTTGTGCTTGTACTAATCTTGTATTTCATCCTAAGACAAAAAAAATGGATCACAAAAAAATAAATTTTTTGGTATATATAAAATGTAAACACAATCTTCTTTTATTCAGCCGTCAATAAAAAATCTGATAATATGAACATCATTTTGTCCCCAGTGACCCCAATGTGAAGGTAAGCCTTGGCATGGTCCTTTCTTGGATCTCCTTTCTACTCCATCATATACTGTTATTGAGATCAGCGAATTCAATCATTGTAATCTAATAATCCTGCTTCCGTGCTGTTATAGAGAACTAACCTCAATCAGCACACCTAAAAAAAAATCAATCCAAAGCCTGCTTCCGGCTTGATGGAACAGACCGTTGTTAAAATGCTGTAAATAAAAGTGACCTTGAAAGTACATTTAAAATGTGTTGTTATACAACTGGAATGGCATCTTATTATATAAAATGTGCTGTTATTACAGGAGCATTTACTCTAAAAATTAAATGATACATTCTTTATGAAACAGCGTGTTTGAATAAATGAAAAATTAAAAGTGGTTTTTACAGGAGCATTTATATAAACTCTGATGTTTGGTCTCGGCAGAGAACTGTACCGCACCACACCAGCTGAATATATGAAATATATGAAAGAAAGAGAGAGATAGAAGGGTCTTGTAATTGTGGCTTATGGATCCCACCATACAGCACCAGTGCAGCACAGTTATCTTGTGGCATAGAATTCTCTCTCTCACACACACAGACACACAGATACACACACATGGGAATGATTTACTGAAGAAGCAGAGAATGTTTAAAGTGGTTTTAAAGGTTCAGAGATTTTTACCTTCTTGCATTCTATCGGTGCATCAACCCTGTGTTGGTCGGCAGAACTGTACCACAGTGTCAACCTGGTCCGGCAGAACTGTACCACATCACCAGCTGGTATATATATATAATACAGTATATATATTTGGAAGAACTAGCTTCAAGTGATAGAGCTTTTTTAATGGACACTGCCACTCGCTTTTAATCTTAAGGGCTTTTCTTCTTGCCCGATTTTATTAAAAGAAAGTTCAGAAAACACAAAACTTGAGTTTCCCATACAAGGGGTTTTCAGCACTGCTCTTCTAACCAAATTAAAAAAAAAACAACATTCAGTCTCTTGGCCTTTTGTTGTCAGGCCCACAGACCATGACACAGTCATAAAACCTGAACCCAGACCATGATTTCCATTTCACAGTACAAAAATGTTCTGAACCCAGGACTGGAGATTCATCCCTCCCAAATCTCTACAGGTCTCGGGGGAACTCCAGGGACCCACCAGGTTTTTACCAATTGATGAGGAAACTGAAAAAATTTTCTCTGAATTAAGAAAACCCCCTGGAGCCCCTCAACCTTGCTGTATGAGGAATCCTGGGTCATAACCTCATTTTACCCTGTGGTAGGGTACAGCACTGTCACTATACACAGTAAATATATATATATATATATATAATATATATATATATATATATATATCTCCTTAAATCTACAAGCTACATTTCTATTCCCATTGACTTGTAAGTGGAGAACTGCAGCTCTGAAGTGAACACATGCTCACGCACACACACCCCTTATGGATTTCATAAAGGTTCAGATTTGTTTAAACATTTGTCATGTTTTATATCAATTTAAGTTACGAAAGAAATATTCGTAAGCTAGCCGTAATTGAGTTTTCAAGCACAGAAAATAACTGCATTTCAACTATACATTTCTTTAAAAGAATGAACAATGTTCGGTTGAATTTGAATCAACTGTGTTGTTGAAGGACCAGAGGCAGCCCTGGGAATGCGTCCCTACACATATTTACTGGCGATACACAATGTCATGCGGAAAGGAACAGCACAACACAAATTTCATGTGACAGTATCTCCTTTGGGAAGATTACAGTCTCCGGAGTAATAGAGACATATCTAAAGCTCTCTGACTGTTTGACACATGCAAAGCATCATTCAAATATATAGCTGTCATTGCTAGCTCACATCCGCAGTCACATTTCACAAAAGCACATTCTGTCAATCCCATTTCATTCATATACACTGTGTGCCCCAGATTATACAAGCGCCACATGTTTACTTGAATTTGAATAGTAGGGTTTGAATAAATAATGTTGTGTTACAGTTTTCTACATTTTCGTAGCCGCATGCAATTTTTAGTCACCATGGCTAACACAGGTGGATATGTTGTCAAGATAAGTCATAAGATCCAAGAAGTGCCTGATTGCAAAGACCACTGTGGCCACAAATTCAGTCCCAAACTCGCATCTGTTTTGCTGATCCTACAGTACTTAAACATGATGAACAAGCTGTGACTGTGACAAATTTACAGCACTTCAGAACGATCATTGTTTCTCATTATTTGTTCCCCGTGTTTATTTTAATACTGATATTCGTTTTGTTTGGCTTACCCTTCTAGTTGTATCTCGGTAGCCCTGTTTTAATCAGTTCTCAGTTCAGGTAAATTCTGTCTTCCTGATTACCAACTTTATTTTCTGCTGGGTAAACAATGAGCCAGACCTAACAATGGAAACATTTCTGATTTGTTCATTTGTTCTTGTGACAGTGCCTCCATTGACCTGAGTGTTGTATGGTGTAAGTAAAAAAAAACAATAATAATAGATAATCTTGTCCCCATGTGGTTACACTGACTCAAATTCTTGCAGAAAGACAGTCCAGTCCTTGGATATCTCTTCAAAGGCTTTAATAGAGAACTAAGGATGGGTAATTGAAATGCCCAAAGAAAGATTATTACTACTGCTTCTGTGAAGAACGGTAACTCCAAAAAAACAGGTTTTTGTGTACATTAGACCTCTAACTGCAACATGTTAGAACAGTGAAGGTTCTTGTGTATACTTCATTTTCCTTTAGATCTAGTGACGCACACAGGAGCGGTGTGGGCAAGGTCTTCCTGGTTAAATCAGTTTATTTTA